CGTCAGTCTACTGATGGCCTGTAATAGCTATATTTCTAGTTTACATTTTTTTAATCTTTTTGCTAGGTTTCACTTGGGTTTTGAGCTTTGTTTCTTCAACCTATATATACCACATTCTATTTCATTTTTGAACTAAGAAAAAGAGAGTTTTAAAACAAGTTTTAAGGGTGGTTTAAGTTTGTTTAAGTGTTTACAAAATTGGTGTTGTGAAGTTTGTTTCACAAGAAGAGGAGAGCATCTTTGGTTTGAGCTTTCCATTTCACATCTCCATCTCTCTTGTTCTAGAGAAGTTTTCTCAACTCATTTATCTAGCTTGTTTACATTTACATTGTTATATTTATATTTGCTAGACTTTAATTGAGTTGATTTTATTTTCTCATTGCTTGCACACACAACCATTGAGCTTAACTATTTTCACACATTGTATAATTTGGGGTTGTGGTGAGTGTAACCTTGAGAGTGAGATTAAATTATGTTCTCACCTATTATAAAGAACAAATCTTGTAGTTGTGCCTTCATTTTGAGTTAGACGTTGTATCACACTTTTATACCGAGAGGAGTGTGTGGTGAGAGACGGGGTTATCCCAAGAGGAGTGGTGTCGGTAGTAATGCCTAGAGGTAGGTCGTAATTCCGAACACTTGAGGGAAACACGGGCTAGAGACCAACACTTAGAGGGTGTAGAGTGTGATTGCAATTGTGTATGCTGTAAAGTTTTCGGTGAACTAGAAAACCGAATTATGAGGTGTAAATGTTGGTCGGGTGAGCGTAGAAAACCCGATTGTGATAGTGGATTCTCCCCGGGAGTGGGGAGCGGAGACGACGGAAGTTCCGAACTCCGTGATCATTTTATTGTGCTTGGATTGTTCTTTGTGTCCACTAATTATTTATATTATTTCTTGCTTATTTTCCCCTTTGCATATTATATTCGTGCATATATCTTATTGAATATCATCATTGTTAGGATATATTTATTAGTTAATTTTAATCCACATTAATATTTAATAAGATTAGTAATAACACTATTCACCCTCCCCCCTCTAGGGTACTTTCAGTATCTTAATCAGAAACAGTTTGAGACTATTTACTCCCACCAAGATTAAAGCCCGTGCGCGACCCGTCGTAAGCTGCCCACGATCCTCTATTATTTCGTCCAAGTTGTCGCTCCACCTTTTCGACTAGCTTAACTGTGTCTGTCAAGGTATATATCTGCTGCAAAGATACATGATCCTGAATTACGATCCTTAATCCCCCAGTATATCGAGACATCTGTTGGTCCTCGTTCTCATTTAAATTGTTGCGGGATGATAGCCGATAAAATTCCTATGTGTACTCATCAACTGTTCTTCCATATTGTTTACAATTCAGGTATTGTCCGAATAAGACTTGTTCATAATCACCCGGTAAGAAACAGACTTTCAGTAGTTTCTTCATCTTTTCCCACCTATCGACTTTTGGCTTTACTTGACGAGATCGATTCATACAAACTGATTCCCACCAAGCTGATGCTCCACCTTTAAATCGGTAGGCCACCAATTTTACCTTACGTTCATCTGGTATCTCCATATACTCAAAAAACCTCTCTACTTCTGCAATCTAATCAAGAAATTCTTTGATATGAAGTTGTCCATTGAAAGATGGCAGATCCATCTTCATCTTGAACCCTCCAGCATCATAACTATACTTTTGTCGACGGTCTTTGTGATAATCACCCCGGCATAGGGGTTCATAGTTATCATCGTTGCCGTGAATTTATCATATGGAGTCGGATCACGTCATTGGCGACCATCAATACGATTTCGAACCGCTACCGTGTTCAGACGATCCACTACCGATGCAAGTCGCTCTATGGTAGTTTTCATCTGATTAACATCGGTCTTCAGCACGTCGAACTCAGTTCGAGAAAAAAGGGGCTTCATCACCTTCCATCGGATTGGAGGAACCTGCTCTGATATCAATTAACGCAGCGCAGAAGTAAACCTCGAAATCCACCAAGGGTGTTCTCTGAATCCACAAAGAACGACGATCTCTGAATCCACAAAGAACGATCTCCGAATCCACGAAGAACTTCGAATCCACGAAGAAATATTGAAAGATAAATTTTATTGATGAAAAGATATGCCATTAGGCTTAAAATACTCTGCTTAAATAGAAAAAGAAACAACTCCTACTAGAACTCAAACTTTACTAAACATAGAAATAACAAAACTCTTTAAAAAAAGACTCCTTAAGATTAGGGAAATCGATCGGTCAAATTTGGGATAAAACCGAATTTACTTCCTAATCAAAACAAACTCCTAAAACATTACCAAAAATAGTAAAAACTAACAAAAACGCTAATATCTCTCAATTCAGAAGGAATTTGGCAAAACAGATCGCGAAAAAACAAACTTTAGTAGGTTTGGTTGGCCTCATCTCGAAAAAGTACGCGATTTTCATATATAATTCGTCCAATTCCGACTTACGATTTAAAAGATATGACCCGTTCTTCGTGGCAAGTTATTTTCCTCGACTGGGTCCACGTTCGGGCTTGTGTTTGTCCCGTTTCTCCATAAACATGTCTTCTGTGTGTTCTAAATCATATAGTTTGGCTTATCTCCTTTTCGTTCAATGAAAGAGGGATCATTTTGTCATTGTTGGTTGTATTATGTAAATTATGATGTGTGTAGTTTTCTTATCCTATGTGTATATTATTCTGGTTTTACAAAATAACAAAACATTACGGAAAGGACCATATGCAAATTTGTGTATTTTATTTTGGTTTTACATAACAAAACATTACGGAAAGGACCAGATGCAATTTGTGTATTTTATCTTATTTTGTAGTACACTAAGGGGCTGTTTGGACATAAATCTGTGAAATCCTTAGGGTGTGTTTGGTAATCAAGATGATTTTCTTGTTGTGTATTTATAGAAAAACACCATGTCATGGTGTTTTTTTCTAAAGTGTTTTGAAAACACCAATTTGAAAGTTATTGGTCAAACTAGTTTGACCATTTATATAGCACATGATACCAATCAACAACCACTAGTAACCTTACTCTCGCCCGTTGCCGCTCCCCACCACTAGCCACCTGTCGGCCGTCAGTCGTCACATGTGGCCGTCAGTCGTCACGGCCAACCACCATTCGGGAGCTTTTTTCAATGCCTATAATTCAAAAAAAATTAATTCTAATATGCCACCACCATCATGAAACAATGATGAATAAGTGTTCAACATGTGCTAATGACATTGATAATATATATGCATTAGGCTCAAAATGTATTTTAGTGACATTACAATATAATATATATCAAGCAGAGGTGCATCCTTACACATGATTTATATAATATTACATACAAAAAGAAACAACTATAAGGATCCAGATCTACTGTTGTGATCACAGATGAACGCATCTACACTCATCCATACATATATGCACACAAGCAGAGGTGCATCCTTAGACATAATGTGGATACGTATTTTTATTTTCATTATAAACTAGAAATTTGATTTTCTCTTCACATTTATTAACATGTTTAAAGAAAGAATCAGAAAAGCAAACCATGACTCCTTATTCCCCAAACATGATCAAAAGAAATCCTAGCTGCCCCCTTTAAGCTTGGCACGGACATGACAACGAACGGTTTGTGTTATCTTTTGGGATGGTCCACCGTATTATATGTTTGAATATCATGGAATATATCACAAGTCATCTTGAATGAAAAACATCAAAACAATCAAAGATTGTAAGCTTCCGTTGTATATTGTTTAACCATCAATCAGATATTTTCTGGATTAATGCCTCGGGGACCAAAAAAAAGGAGACCCTGAAGGGACAGGTGAGGTGTCACCCCCTGGTGGGGTGATTTACTGTTCATGAACAGTAAATCACCCCGCCAGGGGGTGACACCTCACATGTCCCTTCAGGGTTCCTTTTTTTGAGGTCCCTATAGCAACACCCTATTTTCTGCGTAAATGAGAAGAACCCACCAACACAAACAGGTGCACTCTCAAAAACATGAATAAAAACAATATTAAAAAGAGCATATTAGGACAGAGTTCTAATTGAATCTAATACCCCCTGGTCCTTAAACTTCATATAACTTGCCCCTACTTAAGTGGGACTTCCTCTTTTGAGACGATTAAGTCAAATTAAGAACAAGAACCAACCCAAATCTTCTTACGGTTACGAAAGAGTCTGCCAAGTTTAGAATTCATTTAATTCTTAGCATCTCAACACAAAAGCTTACAGATTTTCCTAATACGTTGTCATCTTCAAAATTCAAACTTCCTACATGCTAGAAAATCACAAAGACAATCTCGGATTCAAAATTCTAGACCCATTGGATTCGACCACCACTAAACAAAACCCTAAGTCAAATTCCAACAAAAATCTATCCAAAATCCATAAACTCTAGATTAATTATAGAACGCGAATCTGAACAACGGCAAGGGCGACGAACTGCTCGAGCTTGAGAGTGAGCGCCATAGCTTCTTCTGGTAGAGATCGGCGAGTGAATTGTACCACTCATCGAACTCTGACGACAGTCGGCGACTCGGAGGCGGCGCATGATCGGCCGCCGGCGACAAATGTCAGAGAAGTGGCGAGCCCTCGACGAGTTGAGACGGCAACGGTGACTCGGACGAGTTAGAGACGGCAACGGTGACTCGGAGGTGGCAACGAGCTATTAGGGTTGGGGGAAGAAAAGGGGATCAGCTGGGTGAAAAAAAAAGGTCACGGGATCTCAAAAAACAAATTTTTAGTGTTTTGAAAAAAAAACATTTATTTTTAGGCTTTGTAATGGGTCAATCCAAGAAAACATCACATTTACCAAATATGTTTAATTTTTTTTTTTTTGAAAAAAAACAAAAATGGCAAAAACGCATTGGTTGCCATACATTCCCTCAGCATTTAAGATATGTTCTCTCTTTTCAGCTAACGATATATCATAAGGCAAAAGACAAACAAAACGTAGTTAGCAGGGAAAAGCGGGCGGCTTTCAGTCACAGGATCAACACTTCTTAGACCGGCAACATTTTTGTAGCTTTTCAAAAAAGTTCAAGAAGCTCATGAATCTGAAATCAACGCATCTCTGACATGTAAGTTCGCAAATAATTCTTACTTTTAGCATATTGCACTCGCAGAATCTGAAAGCATCTCATAGAAATTGAACCTACTACACTAGTTCTCTCATGTAACAGAGGTCCAAAACAGGAATTTCAGTATTCTGGTAACGGTAAATAACTTCCTTTTTCTTTGTAAAAGCTCAGGTCTTCATGACGCAAGTCTTTTTACAAATTACTTGCTCTTGCGATCTCCATTGTAGTCGTCAATTAGCCTCTCAACATCCTTCCAGAAAAGGCCTTCCACAAGGATCCCATCTTTTGTGAACCTGAAAAGGGGGGGAGTTTAAGGATGAGCTATAAATTTGTAACTGCAGAACAGGGTTAAAATAATAGTAAATTGCATATATAACTTCAGTAATGTTATCACTCATAGATTCACATTTTGAAAAAGGATAAATTACAGATAAACCCCCTTCTTGTCGAATTGAGAGGTTGGAAGTGCTAAAATGTGAATCGAGTAATGAGTGCTACTGAATGTATAGAACAGAGGGGTTGTCTGCAAATTACCCTTAGGTAGGGGGTACAAGGAGAGAATGTAAGGTGGAGTAAGGTGCAATGAGGTGCAAGGAAGTAAGTATATACCTTTTGTGGTAATGCGATGAGTTAGTAAAAAACAATATAATCCTTTTGAGAGAGAGAGATAGAATTTCGCTGAGATAGAGAATTGAGTAATTATGAAAAAATGGTGAGGGTGTGTCATTATAAAACAAATTCCTTCTTCCCTCATGTATCCCTCCATCCAAATTGGAGGGATCTCTCTCTCTCTCTCTCTCTCTCTCTCTCTCTCTCTCTCTCTCTCCATCCAAATTGGAGGGATCTCTCTCTCTCTCTCTCATTTGGATCTCTCTCTCTCTCTCTCTCTCTCTCTCTCTCTCTCTCTCTCTCTCCATCCAAATTGGAGGGATCTCTCTCTCTCTCTCTCATTTGGATCTCTCTCTCTCTCTCTCTCTCTCTCTCTCTCCTTTCTATTCATTTTGCACTTTCTCTACCTACATCTGACCTCACCCCACCTCCCCTTCCCCAAACCCCCTAACAGAGAGAATTTTTTGTTTTATCCCTCACCTTACTCTACCTCCCGTTCTACCAAACCAAGCCTTAAAGAATCATATAGGGCTGTAGAGGGGGAGGATAGGATGACAAGCAGTTTTTTTACTATCTCAATTTAAGCATCAGCTAAGAACAACCAAGAATATTAGTTTTAAAACAATTGGAAGTAAAAGTTGGAAATGTAATTGCAAGAAAAAAGTGATCAGTACAAGACACTGCAATGTAAGAGAGTAATAAAAAAAACTGAGGAAACTGATCAAATAACTGACATATTTTGTAAATTGTTGGCCTAATTATTCAGTATATTCAATTCTAAAAGGTCATTACGAAATAACGAGCAACTTTAATACTTATTTAGCAAAGGAGTACAATTCAACTAGCAACATATTCGATTAGTCTGACTATCAATTATTCATTTGTATTTTATTTTAGAATTGATAAATTTAATTCTCACAAATTGTTATCTTCTCAAATGTTTATTATACTTTAAAAATCAATGTCACATAAAGTGATCTTTGTTGACACCAAAATTACAAAAAGCATTAGGCAGCCTTGTCGTCAGATCCGACACCTAGAGCCAAGATGGGGCCTAGGCAATTTTCCTAATTTATTATTTTTAATTACAATAATTGATAGAAAATAACAATGTTATAGAAAACTTAGTCGTAGGACTGGTGCCTAGGTAGATTTCTTTCTTCTTTTAAGCGGGAGGTAAAGATGGTTTGCTAAAGGTCATACGAGGTAGAGGAAGTGCTCATAGTTAAAGGCTGGAGGAGTTTGTAGGTTGGAGGACATGGAGGTTGTAATAGAGGAAATTATGATTAAGATCTAAAGGGTGCAGTCTACGTAAGAACCCACTCACTCCTCGGCGCTCCCAAAACCTAGGTGGAGCCTAGGTACCACCTAGGCGCTGGGCAAACAGCCTAGGTACCGCTTAGGCCTAGGCGTACGCCTAGGCGGGCTAAGCAAAAGTCTTTTTAAAACATTGGTTGACACAAATAATTGAAGTAATATTTAGGACTTAGGCATCATCAGTTACATGTTGTGTCTGGTAATTCTTTTTAAAACATTGGTTACACAAATATTTGAAGTAATCTTTAGGACTTGGGCATCATCAGTTACATGTTGTGTCAATAACTTGATAACGGTAATAAACGAATATCAAAAACATAAATCAAGCAAATATTTGTTGAATAAATTTCAGAGAAAATAACTAAAATTGTTAAATAAATATTTATGAATAATTACTGAATATTGAATTGTATAAATGAATAGAATCGGAGTGTCAATTGGTATTCAAACTGAATTCGAATCTAACTTTAAATAACTACTACATGAACTGAACTTGAAACCAAATACTACTAAGCAGTCAGATCTTCAAGTCGCTTCAGATAGGTTAGCAGTTTGAGATGCTCTAGGCACTTTTGTGGAAACTTAAAACTGCCTGGTGTTTCTAAAAACTCTTCATAACAATATTACAGACATGTCACCCTGAAGGATTTTAATAATTGGGAGGTACAACGTAGAGATAAACATCTATCAGAATGGTTTTCTAGTTTATATATCAGATGCAATAACAACATAACAGTAATCTATCATAATGAGGTCGGCTATAACCTTCTAGGCTTCTATATTTCAGCTGCAATTCTATTAACTGGCTCCGTTTGGATATCATGGAGTTTTACTTGTTTCCATGGTGTTTTTGTCAATAATAAAACACCGTGCGTTTGGATACTATTGTGTTTTTTGAGCTAAATCACCCTCAAACTTAAAACACAACACTTATTTCAAAACACGTTTTAGGTGTTTAAGTTCGGTGTTTTGGTTTTGAGTTTGAAGATGTGTTAACATGGTATCTAACATAATATATTAAATGTAATTAATATATAGTTATTATCGACATGCTTATTATATTATATTATACTATACTATATTATAGTTAGTCTAACATATTGGTAATATTTAATATAATAATTAAAATATCTTATGTGATAATATAATAACATATTAAATACTAGTATTTAATTGCTAATGTATTTTATAATAATAAATAATAAGAAAATATAAATACTCTAATAAAAAATAAAAAAAGTTATTGATAATAAATAATAATATAATAATGATATGTAATAAATTATACAATTTTATAATTACTATAATATTACTAACTTTTTAATAAATAAATAGTAATATATTAATAATTATAAATATTAATAATACGTAATAAGTATTTAACAATAAACAAAATATAATAAGTCAATCGATTATAATAATATCGTCGCAGTGGTAAATGTAATATAATAATATAATATTAATATATTATATAAATAAATAATATAACATATTATACAAGTAAAATAATTTTTAATACTAAAATAATTTATTGCTAACAAATGTTAAGGTGAAAAACTAAAAATAATATATTCAAAGAATAAAAAATATTATTTATATCATAAATTATTAATATATTATTAAAGTATTATTAATAACTCTGACAATTTAGAAAACTATAATTATTATATAATATTTAAATATTTATATTATACTAGTAATAACATAATATTACATTATTAATCAATATTATATTATATTAACAATAGTATAGTATAATATTATATTAATAAATAAAATAAGGTTATTTAAAAATATAATATATAAACATAACAAATGATATACCAAAATTTTAAATATATATTACTTGCAAATAATATGTAATAATTATAATATAATATAACATATTAAAGTACAATATAATATTATAATACATTATACAATATTATATTGTGTTATACTTAATATTTATAATTTATAATACTATAATAATGTAAACTAAATATTATAACATTTTATTTATAATATATTTTATTATAATTAATATATAATATATTAATAATATGTTTAATACTAATATTGTAACAGGTCAAACTAGTGTTGACAAAAAAACACTCAACATGGTGTTTTGAAAACACTTTAATCGCAACGCCATGGTTTTTTTTACAAAAACACAATAAGCAAAACACCATGATATCCAAACGAAGAAGATATCAGTTTGATAAATATTTGACCTTAATCTATGCGATATTCTATCAACTCACAAAAATACATCATCAAACATGAAGTTTTCAAAATAAAGTGAATTAAGTATTTTTGACCACTTGTTGTTTATTAGCACCAGATGTATTCTGGCACTGTATTCACCTAAAGCTACAGGACTCCATAACAAAAGGACTATTAAAGTTGAATCACAGAATTGCAAGATCTATCCCTCTTATACTATGAACATTTGCCCAAGATAAATGAAACTAGAATGCTGGTATTAGCTCAAGAGAAAGTACAATTTTGCTTCTTCCTTTAAAAACTTGTAATACTTGCAAACTTTTATCTCAGATGTTGCTAATACAAAACCACCTTTATTATCTCCTATATAAAAATGAAGTTCAGAATGCAAAAGAATAAGTGGCATTATCTTCTGAGTTCTTAACTCCTGCAACATATTTAATTGAAACAAATAAAATGAGCTAAAAAGACCAACCATTTTGTTACACTCCTCGTAAATTGGACTGGTTTGTTAGCAGAAATAGACTTTGGATCGGCACTTGCTACAGTAAGAGTATACATATCAGAGAACCTTGGCAACTTAGATGACACGATCAGCCCCGTACTGCTGAAAGATCCCTGTATTAGCCAATTAAAATCAACTTTCAGGTCTGCTATCATACACAACATGAAACATATCAAGACAAACACAAGAAAATGGTAATCATATAAAGAAATCTTTTCAAACTCATCCAATGTCTTTCAAAAGTTAAATTCTGGCCCAACATATACTACAGAGCTAACAACAATCCGACAATGGGTCCTCGAGTTGTAACCCTCAGCTCTCCAAATCACCAGGTGGCGATTCAAAACCCGATCCACAAATTCATCTAGGATGAATAACAATATAACTAGATAAATACTGACTGACCTTTTTGAGATATTTTGCAAAATATCAAACTATAACAAAGCAGACGTCAGTAGTTAAAGTTGAGTCCAAGGAATTGTTTGTGATTAATGCATCTTGTAAGAATCTGAGTAACATTAGCAGATTTTCTACTATATATAAAACTGAAAATCCAACTATGTAAATATACAATTTGCAGAAACCAGAATCATAGCTAAAACATAATCAATAGAAGAACTAGTATTTTTTCTCATTAAATATTTTAATAAAGAAACAACAGGAAGATAATCAAGATCATGTATCAATCTAATTTATTGAGAAACTTTTAGTGTGACAGATCAAACTAACACGTTTGATAGTTCATTAAGTTGAAGCATTGAAGCATAAAAAGTAATGAAGTCCAAATCATGCACATATAAATTACAAAACGGAGCTTCTAGATTTTAGTTTTCACATTTTTAGCTAGGGTTTTTACATGAAAACCATTAACTTTTATCCAAATTAATACCTACCACTTTATTTATTTATTTTTAATAAAAATCACCTACATTTGCGTACATGTTTGCAATGTCACACTTTAACCAATATTCAGCTCAAAAAAATCCAAAAATGTCCATTTTACCCCTCCCCTCTCTCCACCTCCTTCCTTACCTCCCCTCTTCTCCCTTCCCTCCCTCCCCCTACTCCTCCACCTCTTGGGATTCTTCAAAACCTAACCCCTTACCTCTTCTCCTCCCCCTCCACCAATGGCGCCCTCTACCTGCCCCCTCTACCTCCCTCTCTCTTTTCCCTTCTCCTCCTCCATCCTCACCTCCTCCTCTCCTACCCCTCCTTCCTCCCCTCCTCCCTCTACACTCTCACAACTGACTTCCCTCCCCCTCTTCAGCCACCGGCCCATCACCGACAACCTCTCTCCCATCTCCTCTTCCACTCCTCTCCTTTCCCCTCTCAAGTTAGATTAGAGGAAATAATCAAAACAGAAAATACCAAAAAGTGTGACATTGCAAACATGTAAGCAAATGTACGTGGTTTTATTAAAAATAAATAAATAAAGTGGTGGTATCAATTTCGACAAAAGTTACGATGGTTTTCATGAAAAAATCCTTTATGCCTAGAGGCCCAATAATCAAATATTTTCAGCTTGTTTATCTCTAATATATTCAGATATGATTAATTTTATAGAGATAAATAGAGAATCAGGCTAAAAAATTTTCTAGATAATTTCTGAGATAACTACCATCATTTTGAAGTTCGTTCTCATTTTCTTAAACTAGGCTCTTATTTACTCCAGTCAACTTCTCTCATATTTTCTTCAGATGATTTAAAATCAGAAAAAAAATGATCAACAACTTCCATTCAGTTATCTATTCTGAAAAATACAGTTCTTATTAATTTTTTAAGCTAGTTTGTTCTATTAGTAATAACATCAACCTAGAATTGTTTAATAAAAAAATACATCAGTACTATCTACAGGATAGCTTGCCCGTAAATGCATTGTCAATCTCAAATCTTTTTGCCTACCAAAAACATAGTTTTAGCGTCATTCACTCTAAACTTAGAAGTCTATAGGAAAATGTATCGATGTTTTGACATCATAATGTAACTACTAGAAAAAGATCTATGAACATGTAAAATGTTGGATAAACCAAGGGCCTCGATTGGAATAATAATCTACCAAGATGCTCTCCAACAGTATACTAGATTAAGAAAGTCCAAAGGAAAAAGAAGATACTATAGTTTGACAGTAAACGAATCCAAAACCCAGATACAAGTTGCAAAGCAAGCAACCTTATAATCTAACGTAACATTAGTTCTGCTAAGACCAAAAAGCCTCTATACAGAAATCAAATTT